TCTCGGAACCTCTGTTGCTTTTCGAGCCTACGATTACCCTTTCCGGATGGTTATATTTTATCCACTGCACCAACCGAGGCGCTTTCTTTGTTCTTCTCTCAAAGAATTTTTTGTCCTCACGGTGCCATCAGCAATCAGCCGTCAGCTCGAACAATCTGGGAAATAGAAATCCGCAATGAACCCTGTTAATCTTAAGCTGAAGCCGAAACCACAATCTCTTAGCATTTGCACACTGTCTATTAAATCTTTTTTCGCTTTTTCGAGTTTCGCTCATATCTCAGCATCGTTCTGATTGTTCATGCACAACTGTTCGAGAAACTGCAGAAAAACTCATCGCACCCTTCTCAACTGTTTCGGAACACCTAAAAGAAATTCGAGGAGCGAAAAAGTTCGACAAATGAGTGATGCACGAATTGAATGACATTCAAAGCAGTCGCTATTCTGATGTATCATCGGATGTCCTTTTGGGGTAAGAGAGCGATTCATTTCCTGATTGCATTGTGATGTGCAACGACAAATGTTTCCTCTATGATAAACCATAGAGCTGGTGTAGCGCAGTGGTTAGGGGCACCCAGCAATACACATGAGATCTATCCCCGCTCAGCAAGCCCACCAAGCTCTCCATTACTCCGGGGTCGGCAAATTTGTATCAGACTTGTCTAGGAGCATAGCATCACTGGCTCGATACATCGGTAGGCCACCGCGAGTCATTGTAAAGGACAGATATGATATAGGACAGATACAGATATAAAGGACAGATATACACATGAGATCGATACCCGCACCCAAGGCTCACCAAGCCTTCCATCGTTCCAGGGTCGGCTAATTGGAGCCAGACTTGTCTTGGAGGATAGTAGCAGATATGCATTTAATCACCTCCAGCGATGTTTAATTAATTCGAATGCATAGCGCATCCCTCATAGATTGATTAACGCCGAGAACTTCATCCTTTTTTATGATAACCCACAACGGTCAGTTCAGTGATTGGATTGGGGTGAAGCTTCGCAGCACTTGCAACAGCCGTAATTGCACCAAAAGAAAGTTGTGGTGGCAGTCTGGTGGTCTAACTAGTTTGACCCACCACAGATTCCTGAAACAGGGTCCAACGATTACAGCGGCGAAGTACGTCAACAAGTCGACGTAACATACCACAAACGTCAACGTTTATGCCTCACACCGGTCAATAGAGAGAGAGGCCAATCTTTCTTCACTATAAGTCCCGACTACACGTCACACGACCGACGTTGTAGAAATTAAACGAGCTGAGCTACGAAGCGCTGCCTCAACCACCACATTCGCCAGATGTCTCGCCTGCCAACCACCACTAAGCATCTCGATAACTTTCTATGCGAGAAATAGTTCAGAAACTGAGATGTGACGGAGACGGTCTTCGACGACTTCATCGCCTCCAGAATGCAGAATTCTGAGTAACCGGAACAACTGAATTTATCTCTGCTTGGGAAAGATGTGCAAAATCAAATGGTTGTTGTTTCTCTTAATACACTTTATTTTAAATGAAGATATGCCACCTTAGCGGCACAGGTTGAAATCCAATATTAATTTCCGAACAACCTAATAGCATGAATGTGAAGTCTCCTTGTGGAAACAAACATATTGCATGAAACATGTGTTAACTTATTTTCCTGAATTATTAAACAAAAGCGAGATTAGTATAGAGCTATTTATTCGGCTAACGTACCTACTCCTTCAACCTCTTCAGATCAGCGTTGTTCCGTGCCGATCGTTCACAGCTGAACACTTTATGGTAGATCGTGCTATTTTCAGCAAATTACAGTAAGGAGACTAGTAGATTAAAAACTTAACATTCCAACGCAATTTTTTCATTACTTTTCAATCGGCTTTTCATAGGCTTTAAACTACAGTTTTTCTTCAACTGATGACCGTTCTCATTTGGCTCAAAAACTTCAGCGCTTTAATTAATCAGACAGTTTTTGCTTTACAATCAAACCCTTTCTTGTTCAGTTATAAAACCCTTCATTTGCACTAGAAAATGTTTTAAGCCAACAAATACTTCGATTTATTTCGATTGTAAAGTTTAGATGGAATGTATTCCGTAAACAAGCTTGAGCACTTAGATGGCTCGCTTTCCTGAGTAATTGTGCTAATTCTTCCAATTTTTTTATTTAATTGATATATCCATAGTTTGACAACTTCTTTCCATCCAGAGTTCCAAAAAAGCTATGAAACTGGGTTCCCGGGTCTAGTACTAGTCACCGGCCTACGTACATCGGCGGAAGATTTACCACTGTGAGGACACTTCTTCCAACACGGAAACGACTTTCCACGTTGGTTTACTTTCGTTTAGATGGAAGTCTCGAACTCGCTTACTGTTTGAATAGCTCTTCCGAACCAGTGAAGCGCTACTGCACTTCATAGTTTAGTATCCAGAAACATTCGTTAGCGGCGATATGGCACGAAACCATTGGACAAATGCTTCATAAAAACTATTCGGTAGTTGTTAAAAAGCATTAAAAGGATAAATAGTCCAGCGTTCATCGGCCGCTTAGCGATGTGCTGTGCATTGGACTCCATTCCTAGCATCACAGAGGTGTCTGAATGCATATTGAACCTATGCAATAATTTCTAGAAAACTTACCAACGCATCACGTCAGTGCTTTTATCCGAAATCTGGCACAATTTTGCGAATAGATGTTCACGGTCTTGGTTTGCCCGAGGCACGGAATCGAACCAACGACCCTGTGTTTACTTTACTACAGAGCTCCTTTAATCCCTGTGCTATGTGTAATTTAAGTGCTCAAATCGCAGAGAATTCGAATGGCCGATTTAGAATAGATTTGCTGGGCAAGTTTACTCGTCACCATGCATTCAAGTCTTGTCCTTTACTTGGACTACTGCTTTCATTGTTATGGCTTACTTTTTAAATTCTGAAAATCATCATTGTAATCAGCAATCATATTGTTTCCAACCCTGTTAACCATCGAGCAATTCGATCGGACAGCAAAAAACCTGCTATCTGGTGCTTGTTGTGGTTTGAACCCCCATTATACTAATCAGTTCGGCAACTACAGTCCTACAATTTTCAAGCTTCTGCTACTTTGATATTGTTCTAACGATGGCACACTTTAAATTCAGTTTTTTATAGATTGATTAATCCTAAAGTCATGCTTGTAATGCTTTTACTTACTACTAAGATACTTTTATCGATTGGTATTAAATGCCAAAGTAGAATTAATTGTAAAATATTGTCGCCTCATCACTGGCAGAACCCTCCGACTGACGGAGTTATGTTTTCCGACAAAATACTGTATTTTGCAATATTCAAAGGAAATGAATGATACATTTAAACAATTACGATTTACAAAAGCTGCTCGTGTAACGCAGAGGTTGTGGTCGGAGCACTCTGCAATACACATGAGATCGATACCCGCACCCAAGGCTCACCAAGCCTTCCATCGTTCCAGGGTCGGCTAATTGGAGCCAGACTTGCCTTGGAGGATAGCAGCACTGGCACAATACATCGGTAGGCCACCCCGAATCATTGTTAGGGCCAGATATGCATTCAGTCACCTCCAACGGTGTCTAATGTGGTCGACTGCATGGCACGCTCCTCAGGGATTGGTCAATGCCGAGAGATTTATCTTTTTAACCGTTTTTATGATTTACAACTTACCAGATAGAAGTTCAGTAATCAAAGCGAAATCATGTGACAACAAATTTATAGCAGTGAATCCGTCACGTTGACAGGATTCTGCAAACGCACTGCTGCACACGTCACTGCAATGCTAGTCGTTCAATGTTGAACGACGAAATTTATTACCAGTGTGCTTTTCACCGAACACAAAACTACATAAGTACGCCATTGAACACCAGATGTTTAGCCGTTATAACAGCTTACTTTCTATGTCAAAAGCTGCTTCTGAATCTGATTGGCGTCTAGCCACGAAAACCACAAATCTCATTTGTCATTAACTGCCTAGAAGTGAAATGTTACACCATTTCTTTCAGATATGAGTTGTATAAAATGCATAACCGTGCATGTGTGTGTAGCCTGAGGTGAGCGGTGTTCGCTCTCTGCTCTATCGCCTGGTGTCTAACCGGACAAAGTTAAAGAGCGAGAGGAAGATTTGATAGGTCGTCTCAGACTCGGAGCGGTTTCGACACCAAGATATACGAACGCCATCACACATTATGGCATACATTCGTGGATATATCCGTGCTTTATCGTTTTTCCTTTTATGACATTGTCCTTGGTCTTATCTCATAAAGAAAGATCAGAACATCCCTTGTCAGTTAGTGCTCCTTATCAATAACTTCTTAGCACCATAACAATATAGTAATGCAATCATTGAGCAGTATTTTGCTTTCATAAATGTGATTAGTTACTCGCTAAGGTCAGATAGTCTTTCGAAATGTCGATAATCCACGAAAAAAGTGCAATTCAAGGCGATTACTAGTGGTGAAGCTCTCTAAGTAATCGATAGTTCTGTTTATTTACTACCATCAACTAAAAATATATTGGCGAGCTGGAAATCTTCATTATCGATCGCTATGGCTTATACAATAGTGGAATGGAGCTCATTCTTAATGAATAAGGTATTCATAGGCGTATTCATTTAACCGTTTACTTATGGTATCATTGTAGTAAATTAGGTTACAATTTTTCCTCTATTTCATCGTTTTCCTTCATTTTTACCCTGTGATTGTAGGAGAATTGATAACAGCCGCCGTAGTCGATCAATAAATGTATACTTGCTCTCTTAACTTAGTGTCGTTTTCAATCCGAAAGTCTGTTCATGATTTATGTCTGGTTACTACTTATTTCATGATGCCCTAGTTGGAAAATCCGGTTTTTCAAATCGAGTTTTATTTTTAAGTGTCATCGATTTCGTATTTTAAAAGAAAGCTGTTCATTTATTCTTCTTAGGCAGGCGTATTTCATTCAATTACTCCTTCATAAATAGTAAGTACAGTATTAACAATATGATTTACAAGGAGATCTGGATCCTGTTTGATGGACGATGTCACATTGTGGATCGTTGGCGACGGTGGTCGAGAATCTACCACTATGCTATAATACGGATACGAAAAGCCTTGATCGTGCCCCGTCACAGAATTCTGGATCATCAAGTAGGCAGGATACGATATTTATCTCATGTAATCTTCGCACGTTACTTTTAAAAGCAATGAACATAGTGGTGAGTTTGCGTTGTTGTTGTTTTTCTCTTTTAATATGTGCATGATCGTTTGTGGTTTATGTTCAAATGTCCATTTTTAATCTGCATAGCGTTTGTTAAAAAAAGGACTAACACTTTTCAAGTATGTTTGATTGTACGAGTTTAAAACAACTGAAAATGTTATATCATGTCTAGTCGTCTACGGTCTAGAAGTTATAAGTTATATATGTTGCAGTTGCTGCATGTCAACTCAGATCAAGATTGTTTGAAGCAGCAGCATTTGTATAAGCCGAATAGCGGTTTCTTTAGCAAAGGTATCTGTTTTGGACTTACTAACATCACCTTAGATAGTTTTAGTTCAGAGTTTTGTTGCTGGGTCAAACAAATATCGCTGTCATGTCTCTTTCCAAATGATAAGATGAGATAAGGCAATGAAGTGTCAAGTTTTGCTGTTGTACGTCGTCAACGTTGGGAATACATTCTAGTGGAACATGCGAAAAGTATACTTTAAATGTTCACGATTGATGTTATGAACGAAAGTCATCAGAAACTGATCGATCGGCTTTGTAAATCTGTGCTAACATGAATATGAGTGAAACGAAAAGCTGAACTTACAGAGGGTGTTGGAGTCATTTTCTATCACTAACAGTGCTGAATTTCTTGAAGATGATCTCACTGTATTTCGTTTCTTCTTGTTAGCAGTTATCATTTCTTTTTAGAATCGTCCTATACCAAGAGAAGATCACCTGCTAGTTTATATATCTATAGTTATGGAACATTGTCTTACTTCTATGAACTGTTTCGACTCCTTGATTTCCTAATTAACAGCCATCCTTTATTCATTATACTGTTCTATCCGATGATCCGACCAATCTAATTGAAGAGCAGAAATCCAGTGGCTCAATCTTTTCAGTAGATGTACTATGGTTTAACCGTGAGAGCATTGTAAAGAAGTTCAAGTTAGACAGGAAGAAGAGATTTGCATGTGGTTTGGTTCAATGTATTTCTTATTTTCTATCACTCCAAAACCCCTTTTTGCGCCACATGCCTTCGCGACTAACCAGCTTGAGATCCCTAATATGAGGGAAATCCATGAACGGTTCGATGTAACATCAGTTTTTTTTTTGTTATTGAATGAAAGCGTCTGCAAGATTTGAGAGGAATCGGGAAGAGTGGGTGAAACACTTGTTCTTTAGTGGTTTCTGTAATCGATCAATAGTTTAATTGATAGATTAGTTTAAGCCATATGTTCGCTGTTGGCAGCGTATCAGCGTATCAACAAGTTGGACATTAGTACTTCCTGGTAGTTTAGTTGAGCACGCTGTTGTCACTTCAGTACCGACATTTCCTTGATAATCCGCGCTAGTTATTGTTGACGGTTTCGTTTCCTAGTCCAGTTCACGTCATAATTCGAAGGGCTAAATATTTCGCAATGTTTGTCCATGGTATTTGCTAACACTTTTGTTGTACTTTGTGTTTTACAACGGGCACTATCGGCACGTTTGATGTCAGTTTAACTGATTGCTGTATTTTTTCTTTGCAGAGTGTGTTTCAAATTTTATGGAAATTTGGGCCGAAATCTACCTGGTTTTATGTTTCACTGCTTTATGAAAGCTTAGGGTTTAACACAGTCGTGACGACGTGACCTCTGTGGCAGTCATAAGATGTGAAAGTAGGAGCTACTTTCAGGTTAGATCAAAATATCTAAGCTTTAGGAGGTTCCATTAATTACAATGAAGACTATAAGAATCCAAAAATTTTAGCATATAGAATGGAGGTCTACTTATTTTATTGAGATGACGTTTTGATTTTATGAAACCATTCGTGCCCTACGTTTCTTCCGCTTTATTGCTTTGATATTATTACTTCGAACAGGGAACCAAATGCGCAAGCGGATTTTCATCCAGCGAGGACATGGTGTTTCCCCAATATATTGTTGATGCTTACAGATGTTGGTCTTGATTGGATGTTTTAAAAAATTAAATTTCGTTGTAACTTTTTCTGGAAGTTTCAGTTCTAAGCATTCAAATTTGAGGGACACTGTGTAAAATTTGCATATGTTGTTTTGATAGAGCAGTCTCTACTATAGATGCATAAATTTTTGAGCTTCTAAAATACTGTAGTGATCGAGAAATCATCGTCTGTTTTCGAAAAACTGGCTTCGTTGCGATTGTATTGAAGCGTATATTTAGACTTTTTAGTATTGCTGATGTTGGTTTGAACATGCCATTATTTGGAAAATACCTAATACTGCATTGTTGAATTTACGTTGATATAGGGTTTTTAAGTATTACTGGTTAAGATCTGAAATTCGTTTTGATTTAGTGGTTAGTTTTCTAATTTGTTTTATTATCTTCCATTCTTTCAAGTCATCTGCGATTCCTCTAGTCACTGAATGACTTGAGTGAGCACCAGAATGACAGAATTTTTATGTCGCTATCTCGAGCCAGAAACACGTAATGAAGTCCGACCGAGTAAGGTAATGAGCATCATATTTGAGACCTTCCAAACCTGTTAATAACAAGACGGTAACCTAGAGTTGTTAGGCTTGTTCTCCTGTAGAAGTTGTTGGCCTATTTGTTGGATGTGATCTTGGACCGCGTACTATGCAGCTGATAGCCACTTGATTGCTAGCTCACGGTCCGGAGTAGGCATGCAATGTGCGAAAAGCGGACATAGACGGACATCAATCGGATGTTTCTTCTATGTAGATGTTATGATTTACCTATTTGCTGTACAAACTGCTTGTATCAAAAATGGGTGTTTCACTTGGGTGAAGCTGTTCAGACATAATCCTAAAGGTTGTTAATTTATCCTATTTTCTTTTAGTATCAGAGTCAATTTCAACAAAAGTGATTTCCTACGCGAAATAAAAGGACTTTTCGGAAGCTTTACAAGAGTTCCACGAATCTAACAAAATCTTATTGTTTTACAATGCAGTAGCACAAAGTAATGAAATCTAAAGTATTGCAACATATCAGTAGTATTCTTTAGCGACTTTGCTTGAGAATGTTTCACATGAAATTGAATAGAATGATAAGAAAGTGGCGATAGATGTCTGTTGTTGGGCGTTAACTGAAAGGAGTATTTTATTGTGCTCTATGACTAGTGTTGAACAAGAACTAACCACGTGGATTTCGCAAAATATCAGACAAGCTGGACGATCTTGACTTGGTAGTCGTATTTCCTCAGAAGTGTTTTTAAGTCGGCATATGATGCTCCTCAAGATCCGTTAGCTGAGAGTGTTTGTTGTGCAAACATGGTAGACGACAGGGTTAAATGGGGCTATCGTTGTTTCTCAGTCTATTCATTCGAACTGGAGTACATAATATGGTCTTTTTAATTAGTACAGTCAGATATCCAGTGACAATAACACTGAGCGACTCTGTGTAAAGGACATGTTTCTAAGAATTGCATGGAAAGGATAACTCATTGCATCTTCGAAGGAGTTTCTTATTAACTATTGATGGACTTAGGAATATGTTTCATAGTGAAACAACCTTAAATTAATTATTTAAGGATATATTTATCGAATTGTATTGGTGCATGAAGTGTTTTTCTGTTGTGGCATGAACACTTACTACCAGATAAACTGTACAGTAAAAGATCTGTTCTGTACGTTGTTCATGTCTATGTCGTTCTATTTGAATACCTCTGTACCTGAACAATGCTCCCTTTGTCGAAATGGATAAAACCTTGTATGATTTAATCATACTGCGGCACTTTTTACTTCGATTATTGCTTTTCTTTCATGTCATTATAAAGTAATGCGATATTTCCCTCATTAGTTTGGAGGTTTTCGTCTGCAGGAAACGAAGATTCTCATCTTTGCTTCGGAATCGTTTGTCATAACTGAAATAAGATGAAACCGACATTATTTCTTAGGTGATCAGCCGTTCAAGAGAGGCCACATACGGCGCAGTTCATACGAATCGGCACAAATTCAGCTCAACTTTGCGCGACGAATGACAACACCGCATAGCTGTACTATTTCTTCAATTGCAAAGTATGGAACACGTCTTGAAAGTGTCGTTTATGCTCAGATTATAGATATAAACCTTTAAGTAGCATAGCGAATTGAAATATGGGTTTTTTGGAACATTTCCACGCAGTTCATAGTTTTTCGATGTATGGCATTATGGCCTTCGCGAAGGTCTACGGCCTCATCGGGAAGGGGATTATACAGTGCTGCACAGTAGCAAATCGTCCTTCTAGTTGGGTCAAATAAACTGAGGAGGAGTTTAGCAGTTCTTACTTTGGTTCGCACAGTTCTTCGTGAAAACGGGTTATTCAGCTATTAGATATGGTGTTGTAGTGATCCTGGGTGTCTGGCTGCGATGTACAGCGAAGGTATTTATCCGCCCAGCAAGGCCTTCCAAGCTGAGGAGTCAGGCGTTTCCATCAGGAAGCCCAGCTAAGAGAACCAATACCAGGACAGTCCTGATGTGAAGCTACTCGCATGGTGGCAAATCTCGCTCTGATCCACAAAGACAGCGGCTGCCTTTGGTGGTGGCGACCTGGGGCAGCCTAAGTTCACCTCAGGACTCCAGAGAACCACAGCGGCTAAACCAACAAAACTCCGAAAAATTAGAGGTCATTCTGGGACCCACACCACCAGTGTGGACGGACTAGCCATGTATGCAAGTTGTGCTTTAGCAAATTTCTAGTGACGAGTAGATGTCTTCAGCATAAAATTGGAAAAATTTGGTTGACAAAATAATTATTACCTTCCAGGTATGATGTTCTACCGCTATGTTCACCATCTGCCAAGAAAGATGCATCATATGCTAGTTCTGCTTCTAGTAGCTATACAAACAACGACTGTGGTATTTTAGTGTTCTGTACAGATGGTGTCATTTTCTATCATTTTTAAGAATCCCGTTATACAGACTGTGTTGTTGAGAAAAGCTCATGCCGACAAGATCTGTGCTCTGTCAAACAGAGTGGTGAACCTTCAAAAGGAGTTTTCTCTAAGCTTCCTCGGTAATTAAAACTTTCATTAATTCAAAGTTTACTGCATTTGTTCGGAGACTTTTAATGTCATTATGCTCAAGCTCAATTTCAGCTTATTCTCTGGAAGTGGGTCCAGTAAGCCATCATGGTTTTTCAGGAAAGAAAAAAGTAGGGATTCTGTAGTGATTCGCACAACCGGCCTTATTCTCGAGGAGAGGCCAAGGTCTTAATATATAATGTTCAGCGCGTAGTACTTTTTGGCTATTTCTAATATTTCAGCAGTTTGCCTGCAAAGCCTTCCGACGAGGCAGCACGGCATAAACAATTGTACTATGATATGATAGCGCAGGTTTGACATTTCATTGTGCATGCGTCAGTTTTGTTGGCTTGGTATACTTGGTTTTCATTATTTGAGTCGCGCTGAAAAATTGAAGTATATTGGTCGGACCTGAAAACGGCGCGTGTCGAGCAGTGTCGGAGGCGCCTTGCAATACGTATGGGATCGATCCCCGCGCCCAAAGCTCACCTAGCCTTCCATCCCTCAGAGATCGGCAAATTGGTACCAGTCTGAAAGGATGGCAACACTGACTCGATAAATCGATAGACCACAGCGAGTCATTGTATAGGCCATATATACATGCAATCGCCACAACCGACTCTTCATGAAGTCGAATGCATGGCGCATCCCTTAGGGATTGATTAACGTTGAGTACTTCGTCCTTTCATCCTTTATACTACTCGGGTGAAACAAGCGCATTGATCCCCTTTTTGATGAAATGGTTCTGTTCATTTTCTGTTTTCTCCGCCCTACTGTTCTGCAAGTTTCTCCATCTTCGTCCTCTCCTATTTGTGAACAAAGGAGGCAGTGATGAAAGGGGAAGAAAGAGAAGACTAAGGAATTTCAGAAAGCCCTTTATGTTCAAAAAAGTAAGGTTTAACATTTTGATTTTACCTTAGATGAAAAAGAAGGAGCAACGTGTGCAGAAAGAACGACGTCAAGCTCATTTCGAAAAAGTACGTTTAGAAGAGCAAGCGAAGACCGCCTCTCTTTTGTGGACAGAAAAGATCCTCCCTAATTGGAATGAAGCGTGAGTGTCTTATAAATTCTGTTTTATTTTCCTACGAAATGCTGGCTACGGCTGTCTACAAAGCGGAAGTCACCATATGTCACTTTATGGTCAGAATCCCAAGTAATTCTGTTGCATAAGAAATAATAACAAGGAAAAGAAACGTGTTAAGTATCCTAGTGCGTCGTATGTTTGCTTCAGGAAAGAAACAAAACGTTGTTATGAATTATGGTGGCAGGGTATTCCACCAAAAATTCGTGGTCGTGTGTGGTCGTTAGTCATCGGAAACGCCCTCGATATCACACCAGGTTTCCCTTTATTTGAGAACTTCTACCTGTTATATTTGCTTGGATCGTTATGAGGCTTGCTGTGTAACTACTAATGTTCTATTCCTCCGACATGCTTCATCGAAGCCATTCCATCACTGCATTCTTGTTTCTAATTGTCAACGCTACTAATTCGCTTTAATCTGCTTTGCAGCGTAAACAGTAGAGTAGTTGAATTTCTTCCAGTTGGAGCCAATATTTTGTTTTCCCCAAGAATTGCTCATTTAGAGTTATATGAGCTCAATTGTACTAAAGCGGCTATGGAAGTCTGTAGTCAATCCGAATCTGACCAACGATGCAACATTACGGATGGTACTAAACCTGGGACACAACTTCGTGAGAATTCACTCTCACAAATTCGCCTGGATATTGCACGCACCTTTCCTTCTCTGGGATTTTTCCAGGAAAATGGTCCATATTATGATCACCTAATGAAGCTGTTAGGTATGATTTTTCGGATTATGTGAAGTCTTTTACTACTTTATTTTATTGGATTCTTTAAAACTAATTGCTGACAAACTTCATTAATGCACAGTTTTGTAGTGGTTTTTAAACAGGAGCGTACTCTTGCTTTCGTCCTTCCGTAGGGTACCTTCAATCAATGGCCTTCATCGCTGCTGTTTTGCTTCTTCAAATGGATCTTTATCCTGCTTTTGTTGCTTTTGCAAACCTTCTTAACCGACCGTTACAGGTACGTAGACCTTACTTCGTTCCTACGCCCAATTTTCGTCAACTACGTCCTATTTCTTTATAACTAAACGAATTGATAAATTCAGAATTTGTAGTTTTATTGACGACTCTGGTCTTTCTCGGTAGAAGTATATATAATTTTTCTAAGGCGGTGTAAGGTTCGCCGGAATTTGATGTTCACTTTCAACTTGTATTTTTAAAGTGGCATATCTCAGTTTAGAACAAACTTCTTTACTCAAGATAAAATCCGTTGTAATCTACACATTTTTTTCTAAGAAGGAACAAGTTTACTCCTGCCGGCTACTTAAAGTATTGGGTTTCTGGAGGATATGAAGTAAGTGAACATATCTTTCTACTTCTGTTCAGCAAACACGAGGTGCTATTTTATTTCCTTATTTGCGCACAAGCTGACGTTTCGGCGGATTTCGCCTTCCTCAGAGCCTGGAAGGGTCAAGTTGACAGCAATCCGCTCGGCAAAACACCTCCATAACCAAACAGAGAAAACGCTAAACCAAGATTTCAATCACATTTAGCATAGCTCTGCACACTCACCGCTTTCTATGAGTCTTCCACTGAGTATATCGCGTGAAGACCGACCGCACAGAATTCACATAGAAGCGTAATGTGCCCCTTCCATCAGAATAACAGGTTTATATACCGTCCAATATCACGCGTGATAACGAGGCATTCCTCCCTGTGGTTCATTTTCGGATTCTTGGAATTTATCCAGAATGCCTCTAGAGTTTTGCGCGCTTGTGTTCTCGATTCTTGCGCGAGGATCGTAACCCTAACCGCCTATACGACCGTCTATGTGCAACGCAAAATTGCAGAATTTGCCCCATTGGTAGAGACGGTGACTGCATGAGTTCGGGTACAGTCTATCTGATCTCTTGTAAAGCGTGCGGGGACGAGTACGTTGGCGAAACGGGTAGACCACTCTGCGTACGTATAAAAGAACACCTAGTCGGCAAACGTAAGCTAAGTACTCCATTAGGTACGCATAGCACGCAGAAACATAACGGAGAAGATTTTGAAGTAAGGGTTACGAGGTTATGTGGATGTGTTTTCTTCCACCAAATCCTTCAGTTGTCCTCCATAGCAGAATGATGTGGTCCATTTCTTTTATTTTCGAGTTGCCACGATGAAATTTTCTAGACCAATGTTGCACTGTGTGTTCATTAACACTTTTTGTCCCACACCCGACTAATGTTTCGAGGCTTTGTGCTTCATACTTCTGAGTACGGATTCGTAGAAGTAGATTCGTGCAGGTGGCTGCTTAACATCTTATATTCTAAACTTTGAAATTTGTTAAGAGCACCATTTACAATATAACTGAATTATACGAAACGAAGGTGCATAAAATGCTTTCTACAGGTTTACAGTGATATATATTAGTACAGACTGAAAAAAACTGTTGCTTAAACGTATACATGAAAAGTAAGATTACTAGTCGGACATTAATTTCCGCGCAGCCTAATACATTGATTTTCAATTAGAGTACAATTAAAACTCAAACATTTAATGTTTTCCTTGGTCAAAATACAAGCCTCGATGGAGAGAAATAAAAAGGGAAGGTGATCCGTTGGCTCGGAAATAAGGATTTCACTGTGCTAGAGAAAAAACTGAACGTTTTTCTTGCTGACGAAGACCTTTGCATTCTGTTAGTTTTTATTTCAATTAATAGTGATCACTATGAGCTGAGATATACATATTAGAAATAAATAAAGAAAATAAAGAAATAAAGAAACCAAGCCATACCACCCAATCTCTCCCTCCCTCCTTCCTTCCTCTCCTGTCCTATCCTCCACCAGACCGCGCCTACATTTACACCTATGAGTTGAGGTGAACTCACGTCGTGACGAAAGTGTTAGAAACGAAGCGGAGATACAGTCTTCTGTTCTACATTTTTTTTTTTGAAAATTGCAAAGTTTGTAACGACCAACTGACTTTTTGTTTCAAATAATTGATATACCGTTGTTTCGTTATTATTTTAAAAGCGACGACCCACCATCGTCTGAGTCTGACCTTTAGGAAAAGAACCATGGCATTTTAATCGCGTTAAATTAGTTCCAGTTTTTTTCCAGACAGCATTCTTTGAATTACGTCAGTCTGAGATGACGAAGTATTTCATCGCTTATGATCGTTATTTGGAACAAGAACTACCAATTCTTCATCAACATCTTGATAAACTAGACGTACGACCAGACCTATATCTTATCGAGTGGTATGTTTCCCTAGTCACCCATTTTTTCTAGCTGTGTTTTCTAGTTCAGTAGAATCTTAAGTATCATTTTAAGAATACGTGCTGAATTTCACTATCGAATATTATTTGTTGGTGCAAATGATTTGACAAGACGGAGGTGAAAGGGCGCGTGTAGCGCAGTGTTCGGAGGCATGCTGCAATGCAAATGGGATCGATCCCCGCCCCTGAGGCTCACCTAGCCTTCCATCCCTCAAGGATCGGCAAATTGGTACCAAACTTTTCTGAGAGGATAGCAGCACTGGGTCGATACATCAGTAGGCCACAGCGAGTCATTGTAAAGATATGCATTCAGTCATCCCCAACGATTTTTAATGAAGTCGGATGCATGGTGCACCCCTCAAAGATTGATTAACTCCTAGAGCTTTATTGTTTTTTTTTAAAACTTTTTCAGCCACATTAATTTCGCACCATTTCTTTTGGTCACCACTATGTTGTTCTAGAACCATGGCGAATCCTGATTATTGAAGTGCTACTCGTTATATAGCTAGGACTTCTTCAACTTCTTATTCTTTACATAGTCTAGTGTGTCTGTTGATAACTCGTTGTTCCAGGATATACACGCTTTTTGCGAAATCATTGCCGTTGGATATTACATGTCGAATCTGGGATGTTTATTTTCGTGATGGGGAAGAGTTCATTTTCAAAACAGCCCTAGGTAGTTCTCCATGTGTTTTACTGAGTTCATGTTTCTCCAGGCTTGTCAATCAATATGGAGACAGGATTATTTCGATCTTTACCTTACCATTAGGTAGAATGTAATATAGTAGGTATAAGGTACTGTTGCAAATGACATGTTTTGCTTTATTACTTTATTGGTACAATATCGTTTTTCTATGAAGAGTACTTCTTAGCATATCTTACTTTTAAGTTCATGGCACCTTTGTGACTGTTTATGGCGAAGTTGACATTTTTGAATTTGTTTGGCTTTACATGTTTAGGAATACTTCGTATGTACGAGAGCCGATTGTTGTCAATGGATTTTGACGAATGTGTCGAGTTTCTCACGCAGTTACCAGAAAAAATGTCGTCGTCAGATCTGTTTCGTAACATTGAACCTTTTGTTCGTTCGTATTCTGCTGCTGATATCTCACGACCAAGGAAACGTTTTGTACAGGTGAAGTTTTCTTGTCTGAAAAAGAGTTGAAATGTAACTGTTTTTCTCATAGTTCTGTTTACTTCTTTTCCACTAGGCTTCTTTTCCTTTCCACAGCTTCAGCATTTCATCACAAGATTACAGATTCTCAGTGAAGTGGAGAAGCGGGTAAATCAAGGAGATGCGAAAGGTCATGACACATTTAGTAGGAATTTAAAAGAAGTTAAGATGAGCAAGAGTCTCAGCGGGTTCATTAATGATCTTTTTTCTTCGCCGTCATATCTTTAGAGTTTATATGTTGCCTCATTATTATTTTCTTTATTTTATGTGCCATATTTTTTCCTTTTTTTCACTAGGGATTGTACGTTTTGTTGTGGTGGATTTACGGACATTCCATGTCAGTCCCTCCATGGCTACGATTTGGTATTCACATATGCTTTGATCCAGTTCTGGTGACATTTTTCTTTCTTTCTTTTTTCTTTTCATTTCATGCATTATTCCCGTTGATAATTCTGCATTTTGTGCCTTCGAATGCTTATCACATTTATAAAGAAGAGGAACTTGCCATGAAGTATGTATTTATGCTTGTCTTATATTTTTTTGAACGCGTTGTTAAATTGTTAAGTACTTATAGTTTGTTATTGGTCACATTTTAGTATATTATTTGTTAAAATACGAATGAAGGATTCACAATTTATGATGCCATTCATCATTCACATATCCTACTTGTTTCTTACGCTTGCAGAGTATATTTTTATTTTGCTTTTTATTCATTTTCCACTGATCATTATCACATCTACTCTCCGGATCCCGGCACTTTTGTTCGAGTCGCTTTCCGCGCAGTTACCGTCCATGAAGGTTTTTGAACACTTCATGTGTTCTTTCGGTTGCTACTCAAGGATTTCGTCTTTTTTATGAAAGCCCTGGAATGTTGCTCGAGTCAGTTCTTCTGTCAATCTCGGAGATAGCCGGGCTAAGGCGTTTACACGTGCACTGGCCGTGAGCATTGGGATCAGGGGTCGAACTAGAACCCTGATTCTTGATGGACTACATCATTAACCACTACACTGCCCACGCTATGATTACCGTTTTTGTCGTTAACTTCATCGTAATCTTTATGTATATATATATATTATAATAATAGTGATAATAGTAATAATAATAATAATAATAATAATAATAATAATAGGTTTAGATAGAGATTTTAGAACAGAAAATCCAAATACTGGCTGTCCGACGCAAAAAATTTAGAAGGTAAACTGAAACCGATTCTCATTTAGAGCTTGGAAGAAGCGTTTTGTTTGATTGTTGTGCAATACAGCGATATTTACTTGAGCAACTGTCGGTGGCAATGACATATGGTTTTCTTTTGTCGTCATTGCTTCGCACATCTGTGAAAGCAACCTTAATGGTCTTTGCATCTTTTATAGTGAATTTTGTGTTATAATGGGTTATCAAGTGTGTTAGCTAGACATTAAAGCGCTGTTGAACTCAGGAAATAGCTGTTATCTCTGCTTCACTATGGGGTGTTTGCACTTTATTTGTCAGGTAAAAGACAAGTGTATCGATCGTCGTTCTACAAAGAAATTTTGTATATTGTCGAAACATATGCATGATTTTTTAGAGTTATTGGAATGATTTTTTTTGGCACGTTGCATATTGGTATAGTTGTCTATTGGACTGTGAACAGAGTGAAAGCAGCACCTGGAATGTCAGCCAGAGGAAGAAGTTGGCTTCTTAGGCACATATTGGCTTACTAAAACTGCGAAGACATAGTGGTCAACAGCAAGGTGAATAAAAATAGCTTCTCTTAATTCTCCTATAAAGCAATCACAGTGTGAGTTTAAACGAGTTTTTATTCCTATTTCAAGCAAAGGAAGACAACATTCAAGCGGATCCCAGCGGTTCTTGTATTCATTTTATTTAATTTCATCCATCATTCACAAAAGTGCGCTTTCGCATGTGGGTTCAGCTCCTACTCGACGATTTTCTTTTCTTTACGGATGTTCTTGAGTGCTGGTCAATTTGATTTTCCCGTTGAATCCTACGATAGCTATGCTATTGCATTCCTATGTCTTCACAACAGTTAGTGGTCAGCTTTTATGAATTACAGAGAGACTTTCCTGCGCAAATCTGGACCGATTTTCCAACTCTGGAATCTTGGGATAGCTTTACTGGGTGGTCTCATCACCAGGTCGACACCACTAACAATCACTAGCCTTTCTGGATTTGGAGGGAGCTTCCGATGATGATGAAAGGTAATCAGTAGCTAGGATTCCTAGACTTAGCAGAGATTTTCTTTATAGGATTGAAATGTAAGGAAGGGCGAAGTGATTTATACGAAAACGGTTTGGCTGTGTGAAAGTATGGGAATAAACTGCTTAATTCCAGTGTGTATATTGGTGAAATCAGTCGATAATTTCTCAATAAAGATTGAGAGACCGGTCGTGGACGTTAGAGGCCATGGATGGGGGATGTACAAAGCGCATGGACGTCTTTAGTTAAAATAGTTAGGGTATTATCGCATAGTGGTACTTCTATCAGTCCTTGATGATGTTAAACACTTTTCCGATTCCGCGACTGATTATTGGTTTCGATTTCCAGTCATAAGTGTACGTGGTAAAGAACTCTGTACTCATACCTTAGCATATTTTGTTTAGATTTTGAGAGGTGTAATGCTTCTCAATATATTAGTTGCCATGTTGAATCTGTGGCACTTGTAGTGCACTGATAGGAGTTGACCTGCAATATACACATGGTAAGTGGTTCGAGCCTGCGTTCGTGGTAAAGCATGCTATCCGTCGCGGATAGATTGGTACCAGGCCTGTACGAGAGCATAAAAAAGCTGACTCAGTGCAGTGATTGACAACCATGAATCGTTGTATCAGACAAGTAGTCGGATACATGTGCCATCTCTCAGTGATTAATCAGTGCCGAACGCGTTCTCCTTTACGCTCCATTACATAGGCCTACTATAATGCTGTGGAAACATTAAAGAAAAAAAACTTTGAGAACGGAAACAAAATGTCTGATATTCGACAGTTTTCAGCGTGACCGAAATGATATTAAAATCTTTTGCTGTTGTACTCTACTTAATCAGCACTTTCCCGTGAGTGGCTGCTAATATTGGAAAATATTCACTTCATCTAAACTTCAAGAAAGAATAGATGGTATTGATTTCGAGAGGTCACCATTCATGTTTGGTGTTATTAAATAATTCAGGGTTTAAGAAAGTCGTTGCAGTAATGGTCAAAAGCTGTATTATAATAGTTAGAATGCAGCATATATTGATAAGGCTTGTAGTATAGACAATAAAAGTTAATCGATAGAAATAGCTGAGAGACAGGCGAAACGAAGGACCCGCATGGTGTGGTGGTGAACGCGTTACTCCCCGGAAAGGACAATACCGCGTTCGTTCCCCACCATAGACACCTGCGGTCCAGAGTTTTGCAAATATCTCAGCAACGTTGTGGTTGTATTTCGCTTAGTAACCTGCCGTGAAAATTATAGAAGGCAGAAAACAAAACCTTAAAAATGAAGTTAAATCAGAAAAACAACTCTTAATATTCTACGGATCGAAAATCTCATCAGAGCGTCCTTTTCCATTCAGTAGGTGGAGGTTTTTCTAATTATGGACACCTAGTGTAAGGTAGGGTGCGTGTAGCGCAGTTGCTAGAGATGTGCTGCGATAAGCGCGTTGTCGCGTTGTCGTTGTATGGATCCCTGCGCCACAGGCTCACCAAGCCTTCCATTTTTCCGGGGTTAGCAAATTGCTACCAGACATGTCTGGGAAGATAGCATTGTTTGGATGCATTGGCAGACCACCGCAAGTCATTGTGTTGGCCAGAAATGCATTAAATCACCTCTAACGATGTTTAATGAAGTCGAATGCATGGCGTATCGCTCATGGATTGGTCAACGTCGAGAGATTTACTCCTTTTTCTTCTAGAACACAAACTGAATTGGCGTAAGCAGAGCAATAGTAATTAGTTGAGTTGATGTTGGTATTTTTTTATAGGCAACAAATGCCATCATTAATATCCTTTTTGTTGGCATAAAATCGGTAGAAATCAGATAGTCTTTCGAATAGTTTTATTTTAAAGTCAGTTTTGTTTCCTGTACCTCTTTTAGAGGTTTTACTGATATTGATTTCATGTTTTATCGTTAACAAGCTTTTGAATTAGTTCTACTTCTATTCTACTGTGTAGTATTTTCCTGTCAAGAAATTCAACAGCATCGAATGTTGTGCTGTACGCTGGCAACGCTCTTCACCAATCCCCATAGGACACCTCAGGCGGCTTGTCCCCATGATTTCAGGGATTACCGACTCGGCCAGAATTCTACGACATTCGTGAAGAAAACGAAATCCTCAAACTACAGCCGAAGCAACACGCGAAATGTTTAAAGATCTCTGAGGGTAATGAATTCGAGGAAACCCAGTTAAATGCAAAAAGTGCTGACATCTGCACAGTGGATGTGATGAAAGGTAATGTAATAAAAAAGCGAAAAATATGCGTGCTGCTTCTATAGATTGAGATTGCCGACGATGGCGGTGATTATTGTTTCGTCTTCAGTCGTCTTCCACGACCATCGTTTCGTCTTCTTGCGCAATGTGACCGTCTGGTTGGCTTTTCAAGTGTCCGGAGCAGCATATCCGCCACCGTCATCGAATGCCATCTGCCTGTGCAACGCCTTCTTCATTGCGCGAAAATCATCGTTCTCCGATTGCCTTTGGTTGCCGTTCCTTATAGGTAGGTGTTGTTGAGCAGATGCCGTTCACTATAAAAGTTGTTATTCTGGATAATGCAGTTATTTTTACTCTATTCATAATTTTCTATTGTTGGAATGAATTTGAACAAAGTGGAATTCTGCTGGTGACCCAGTGAATTACGTAAGCTAACGTCTGCTCCGACCAGAAATCTGACAGTCACTCATAACTTTCGATTGTACAACGTCCTCACTTGCCATTCGCTATTGGTTAATTCGCTTGTATTCGCTATTGTCAGGTTATATTGACCTGATGTTGCACGTAGGAAAGATGCATTCAAATTACCGCGATAAGAACTCTGTGAAATATTTCCATATCTGATTCGATTACCTATGAAAGAATACATCAGCACAAGTTATCTATATGGTGATGATTCTTGTTTTTTTCATTTACTTCGTCATATTTTGGTAAGCGTTTCTTGGATTGTTTTCTGAACGTGTTTCTTAACTTGTAGATCGCTGGAAAAACTCTTAGGCGCTGTTGAGAGCTATTCAAGGTTTTAAAACCTCCGTAAATCTTA